CCTAAACCCCCTAAATCCTAAGCCCTCAAACTCTGTATCCCAAAAGATACCCTTATAGTTCCCTAGAGGATCCCTTAAGAGCCACCTGTATAGATCCCAAAAGGACCCCTTAAAATAATCCCTCATGACCTTAGTGGTTCCCTAAACGATCCTGAAAGGAACCCTTACCCTAAAGGATCCCTTACGGAGCCCCTAATGGTTCCCTAAAGGATCCCTTAAAGGAGCCTTCATGGTTCCCTATAGAGGATTTTTTTCGATATAGGATCCCTTAAAGGAACCCTGTAGTGTTTTCTTTAAGGGATCCCTTAGAGGCTCTCTAAACCCTACTCAAAGGATCATGGGACTTAGTAAGTAAGGTTATATTTAAGGTAACTATACTTATAACCTCAATTAGGGGACCTATAACCTTACTTACTAAGTCCCATGATCCTCCAAGTAAGCCAGAAACCCTACACCCTAAGCCCTTCGAGTTCCCCCCTATGGCCCTCCTCCGGTTTATCAGGCCGGGAGCGTCCCAAGACGGCACTGGAGCTGGCCATCGAGGCAGCGGGGTTCGACTCTGCAAGCCACCGTTATCTAAATAGATAAACATAAATCTAGAGAAAAAAGAATGTACATATATATATATATATATGTTTATTTATTTATTTATTTATTTATTTGTTTCTTTGTTATTTTATTTATTTATTTGTTTATATGTATATATATATATATGTTCATGTTTATTTACACATGTATATCAACATTCACGTACTTATTTTGTTTTCGATTTAGGTTTGTAATGGTTTATAGCATGTGTTTGTTGTGTAGGTTCGAGCATGCCTGATGATTCATTCCTTCCGTCCTTCCAGCCTTCCTTCCTTTGTTCATTCACTCAGAGGTTAATGCATGTATATGTAGCTAGTCATTGATTTTCGGATGTGTTTGCTTACGTCAGTCTATGTCAACTGATGGTGGAACTGATGTGTGTATCTTCGTTTTGTGTACCTTTATATTTGCTTTGGTGCGTTCGTATTGTATGTATGTATGTATGTATGTATGTATGTTGTATGTATGTATGTATGTATGTATGTATGTATGCATGTATGTATGTACACTCCGCACACACATATGTGTACATGTATATTTATATGTAGAGATAGATGCACATGCTATCTGTGCGTTTGCCATTTGTGCACTTGTTCATTGAGGTCGCATCTGTTGAGGGCTTAGGCTTTAGATAGACTTATACTTGTAATCTATGTATATGCACATGCTTACAGGTTCATTTTCTATGTCTATTTGTCTGTCTGTCTGTCTGTCTGTCTGTCTGTCTGTCTGCCTGTCTGTCTGCCTGTCTGTCTGTCTGTCTGCCTGCCTGTCTGTATGTATGTATGTATGTATGTATGTATGTATGTACGTAGTGTGTGCACAGTCATATGCTCTGTTTTCCTCTAGGTGTTCAATGGCCTCTTGGGGTTCAGGGATTTCCGAATCTTCGTTGCTCGGGAGTCTGGGGTTGCTGATTCACTGATGGGTTTCACGGACTGGCCGAAGAGGTCAGCTAAGGTGCAAGTAATGAGGGGTTGAGTGGTAGGGGTCGGGGGGTCCGGGCGGGGGGAGGAGGTTCAAGGGTTTCGGGTGCAGGAAAGGAGTGATTTAGAGGTTCAGGCACAGTCCGGTATCCCTCGTAGCGAAATCCTACCTGCATTCAAGAAAGGCGAAGAATGATGCTTATGTGATTCCTCCACCCTATGAATCTCTATCCGCATCTGTTTAAGAGGGACTTCAGGACATGTAGGTACATCGTTTAAGGCCGACAAAGTTAGGTCTTACACCGAACGCCGGTACCTATAGTGCTGTTCTACATCAGGATCACGCTTTGAGGTCCCCCTCATTGCACGCGGTGCCTGAAAGGGCAGTCTCAGACCCCGAACCCCAAGCCCCTAATATAGAAGCCTAAATAATTACCAACGTTCTTTTAGGGGTTCCTTATTATAGTTACACTATAAAAGGAGCCCAGAACCCGGTTCTAATTATTCAGGCCTTGATAGTAAACCTCCACACTCTAAAACTCTAACACCCTAACACCCTGAACCCTAACACCTTCAGACCTGAACGTAGACTTCTGATTGATAAACCCCCGCTGTAGTATTGGAGCCCTAAACCCTAAACCCTAAACCCTAAACCCTAAACCCTAAACCCTAAACCGTAATTCAGAGCACGTCCCCCGGCATGAACAGGTTCGGCGTAAGCTCTCTACTCCCATAAACCCTAAACCCTAAACCCTAGTTTAGAGTTTAGGGTTTAGGGTTTAGGGTCTAAAGCCGTGGGTTCAGGGTTCAGGGTTTCCCTCACGCCGTCTTTAGGGGTTCAGCGTTTCGGGTTGAGGGGATGAGGGCCGAACGACTCGACAGCACATTGCAAAACCTCTTAGCAACTTGTGAACCCTCAACGTTAAACCCTTCATTTCCTAGCCGCCCGCAAGAAAAACTTAGACCCTAAACTAGCCCCTAAGCCCTCTTTACGCATCCTAAACCAAAACGCCCCAAACCCCTAAACCCTGACACCCTAAACCCTAAAACCCGTAAAGCCCTAAACCCAGAACCCTAAAGCACAAAAGCCTCAAACTTTAAGTTTTCAAACCCCAACCCTTATACATGCCCATAGGATCCCTTAAAAGGAACCGTTTATAGATCCGGACCATATCCCTTCCTTCCCCGTACAAACACCTTCACACCCCGAAACCCTAAATCCTAAATCCTAAACCCTAAACCCTGAACCCTGAACCCTGAACCCCTGAACCCCTGAACCCTGAACCCCAGACCCTAAGCCCTGAACCCTAAACCCTAGGCCCTTTAAAAAATCTTTGGCATCGCAGGGTATCTCC